TATTATTTTTACAAATAACTCAAAGCAGTGAACATATCCAACACACTTTTCTTCTTCTATTTTCCCTAGAACAACAACCCTGTAAAGTGGGTTGGGCTGAAAGAGAGGGACTGGCCCACAGTCAACCAACCGGGTTTCATGGCTAAGGCGGGACTAGAACTTATGATCTCCTGCTTTCCAGCCTGGTGCCGTAACCACTATGCCAAACTGGCTTTCTTTCTGAGTTACTTACATCTTTCTAAGGAAGTCTTGTAGTTACATTTGCTCTCTATTCTTATGCAATTTAGGTAGGACAGAATAGAAAAGTATAAAATGCCTTAAATGCTCATTAGAGATAGTCTTTGTTTAGCAACTGCAATTGGAACCAGTAATTTCGGTCATTAAGGGAAGTGGTTGCTAAGTAAACTGCAACTGTGCTTATGAGTTTCCTTAAACTTTCCTTTGCTTTTATCGTGTCAGAAGGCTATGACCCCAAACACCCAGGTGAGCCTAAATGGTAGCGTAGATTTCTGATTCGCCGAGAATCATTCCCCAATGCATTCCCCAATGCTGGGATAATTAGCAAGAAGATTAATATTTGCATTTACATTCATTGGGGAGGAAAGGGTTATAAGGAAATAAGCAGGCACACACAATGAAAGGAATGCGCCAGCGGTGGCTGTTTGCCTAGTGCGCTGGGTCTGTATGCAGCCAAATGCTTAAGAGGCAAAAACAAATATTCAGTGTGAAATTGATTAGGGCCTTGTCAGTTAGAGGCAGCATTTGGCAGCCAGTCCAGAGTTTTAATCAATTAAATAAGGTCAGAGAGCTGAGCATGTTAACTTGGGGTGAGTATTTTCTAGGGGAGTAATATGCTTCTGAAAAAAGCAGCTCAGGAAGAGATACCTTGCTGACACAATCTCTCTTTTCTTTGAGGGGGAAAAACAGGCAAAAGATCATACTTATTAACTGGCTATAATGGTGAACAGGTGACTGAGAGATCCTTGAAGGTTATATATATGGACATTGGTTGCAAAGTTATTTTTTGCCACTGTCATGCCTCCAAATTGAGCCAAGGTGATGCAGTGGTTACAATGCAACATTGCAGGCTAACTCAGCCCACAGCCAGGAGTTCAATCCTGACAGGGCTCAAGGTTGACTCACCTTTCCATCCTTCCGAGGTTGGTAAAATGAGGACCCAGATTGTTGGGGGCAATAAGCTGGCATTTGTAAACCACCCAGAGAGTGCTGTAAAGCACTGTGAAGCGGTATATAAGTCAACAGTGCTATTGCTATTGCAAATGATTGCTGTCCAAGGCAGTTGCTAAACAAGGAATGGCAGTATTTTTTAATTGCATTCCTGTTGATTGAACAGAAGTTTCAGTAATGTATTTTCATAACGAATCCCTAGGTAGAAGATACCTGTATTAGGTCCAACGAAATGACAAAATTTGTTGTTAGTTGCGAAGTCGTGTCCAACCCATTGCAACCTCATGGACAACGTTTCTCCAGGCCTTTCTGTCTTCTACCATCCTCTGGAGTCCATTCAAGCTCACACCTACTGTTTCGGTGATTCCATCCAGCCACCTCATTCTCTGTCATCCCCTTCTTATTTTGCTCTCAATCCTTCCCAGCATTAGGCTCTTCTCCATTGAGTCCTCCCTTCTCATTAGGCGGCCAAAGCATTTGAGTTTCATCTTCAGGATCTGGCCTTCTAAAGAGCAGTCAAGGTTGATCTCCTCTAGGAAACTGACCAGTTTGATCACCTTGCAGTCCAAGGGACTCGCAGGAGTCTTCTCCAGCACCAGAGTTCAAAGGCCTCAATTCTTTGGCGCTCAGCCTTTCTTATGGTCCAAACTTCACAGCCATACATTGCAACTGAGAAAACCATTGCCTTAACTATGCGCACTTTTGTTGGCAGGGTGATGTCTCTGCTTTTTAGTATGCTGTCTAGATTTTCCATAGTTTTCCTCCCCAGGAGCAAGCGTCTTTTAATTTCTTGGCTGCAGTTTGCGATGATCTTGGAGCCCAGGAAAATAAAATCTGTCATTATTTTTTAGACTTTCTTTGCTTCTTACGTATCTTATTTTTATTGTGCCTCATGAAGATTTCTCCAGAACTCTAAAAATTTGTACACTCATTTGTGACATCTTATTGGATCCCAAAAAAAAACACTTGCCTGACTATGAGCCAAGAGCCAAGAGCCAAGGTGGCGCAGTGGTTAAATGCAGCACTGCAGGCTACTGCTAGATCAGCAGGTCAGCGGTTCAAATCTCACCGGCTCAGGGTTGACTCAGCCTTCCATCCTTCCGAGGTGGGTAAAATGAGGACCCAGATTGTTGGGGGCAATATGCTGACTCTCTGTAAACCGCTTAGAGAGGTCTGAAAGGCCTATGAAGCGGTATATAAGTCTACTGCTATTGCTATGGACATTTTCCGCCTGGGACAAACATGCTTGTGATGACTTTTATGAGTACACCTGAAATACACTCTTGTTTTTCTCTCTATGTTAAGAAGTACTGGTCAAATATGACTGAGCTTGTCTCTCCAATGTTTACTTCAGGTCAACTCAGATCAAAACCTACTCGTGGGATAATGCCCAGGTGCTGTTGGTGGGCAACAAGTGTGACATGGAAGATGAGAGGGTTGTGTCATCAGAGCGAGGACGTCAGCTTGCTGAGCACTTGGGTAAGGGAACAACAATTGGAATGATATGTATTTGAGCTATAAAGATGAGTTTGAAAAGTCATACAGAAGTGGAATTTCAAGTCTTTTGGCCTCAAGGAAAAAATGAGTTTTAGAGCTTTATATAGCTAGTGTGCGTTAAATAAATTATGCAAAACAGATTTATATAAGAGATACATTTGCATAATATATGCACATTGTATAGAAAAAAGTAGGTGGCTAATCTTTTTGGAACCTTAGATAGGAAGCCATTATTAAATGGATTAGATGCAGGTTCAGGATTAAAAAAACAAGACATTTGTTACAACATCTGTCAATCATTTCTAAGGTTGGTTGCTGAGATGTCTTTAAGAGGAGAGTAGATAAATTAACAGAGGAAGTACAGGGAATAAATGGGATATACTGTAAAAGAGATTTTGAAATGTTTGAAATTGTCTTTAAATTATTAGCTGACACTGTTGCTTTCAAGACCTGTTTGTGGCTGACTCCTTATTCATATATATAAAAGTGAAAAACACTCCCACCACGATCATGAAATCTCCAGAACCGAAAAGCCTACATACTTGAAATGTGGCACATATATTCCTCTTGGCTTCTAGGTGCTCGCATAGAAAGGATTTTTCTAAATGACCATTAGATCATTACTATTTCTTATATTATTATTAATATGCTCTGATGCTAAGGAGTTCTACTCCCCCTCCTCACCTGAAAATATCTGTGTTCCAACTGCCCCTTGGGTGTGGCCAGTGTGTGATTCATTCAGCCTGCAGGCTGGGAGTTTGGAGAGGATCAATGGGGCAACCCTGAGGGAGAGAAGGGGATAGGATGGGGGGTATTCCGTGGGGCAAGGCTGAGAGAGAGAAGAGGTTAGGATAGGGGAGACTTCTATGGGGCAAGCCCGAGGGAGGGAAGGGGAGAGGAGAGGCTGATCGTAACTACTTATTAATTTTCAAACTGATTTATCAAGACTGATCACATAGATTCCTAGCGGAGCATGGATAACTAGCTAGTTAGATATAAGATGCTGAACTTGATTAACCTACCTTGATACTTTGGATTTCATAAAATCATATTTATAATAGAAGGGAGATATTTTAGGCCAGTAAATCCAACTCCTCCTCTGTGCAAAAATTGAAGGTAGAACATTGGTGACAGATGGCTGTCTAGGCACCATTTCAACACATTCACTGAAATGCTCACCATGTCTCTGATAAATGACTCTGCTGTTGTACTCCTCTTAACATTGGGTATTTTTCCAAACATTCAGCTAGCATCTTTTTTCATGTAACATAAATACATGTTAGTCTTGGCCTTTTTCTGAATGACATCCTTTCGGGTACTTAAAGAAGACCATTATGCCTGTCCATTCTCAAGGATAAACATTTCATGGTCCTTCAGTTACTCTTCACAGGACTGAATTTCTAATCCTCTGATATTCACTCTTTTCCCTGAACTTCTTTTGGTTTCCCTGAACCCTTCTTAAATATAGTGCCCATATTTTACAATACTTAAGGTGAGGGAACAGTAAAATTTCATGATTGAACATCTACACTATTATAGATTTAGTTTAAACTAGCACTTATGGTTTTGGCAGCTAAATTGCCCTGCTTGTTCCTACTCAGTTTGCAATCAACTTCTATTCCAATATATTTTCACAGGTACAACCGCCAAACCAGGTTTATCTCTCTATTTGCTATTTATTTTCCAGGTGAACAATGTTGCATTAGTCTCTATTAAGTTTAATTCTTTCCATTTCAACCCATGATGCTAATGGATCAAATAATTTTATTTATTTATTTCTGCCCTTTATTTATGGAATTTATATGCCACCCATCTCGCTATCATGCTACTTAAATTTCCCACTCATTTGTGTCATCTGCAAATTAGATACCATATTTTTCAGAGTATAAGACGCACCGGAGTATAAGACGCTCCAAGCTTTTGAAGAGGCAGATTTTAAAAAAAAATTTTAAAAAATTGCACTCTGCAAACCTCCCAAACATAGCTTATTTGTTGTGAAAATGGGCCCAGTTTTTTTTCCAAAAAAGGGCCACGAATAGCCCTTAGGAGGCTTGTAGAGTGCTCCTGGGGGAGGGGGGCAAAAACAAGCCTGTTTTTTGCTAAAACATGCCCATTTTCTATCAAAAAAGGGCATGAATAGCCTTTAGGAACCTTATAGAGTGCGGCTGGGTGGAGGGGGGGGCAAAACTGAGCAAAACACAGGCTGTTTTTTTGCTCATTTCTGCCCTCCCCAGCCCCCAGGAGCTCTCTGAAAGTCTCCTAAAAGTTATGCATGGCCATTTTTGTGAAGGGGCAGGGTTTCGGGAGGCAAAAAATGCTGTATTCAGTGTATAAGACCCACCCAGATTTTCAGCCTCTTTTTTGAGGGAAAAGGGTGCGTCTTATAATCTGAAAAATACAGTAATTATTGAATCCTGCCCCTTCATCCTAATCATGAATTAAAGATGATGAGTATAAAGCTTAGGACTGAAGCTTGGTTGTCTTATTAGACAAATCTCTCTTGTTCAATAAATCTATAAGAACTCTCCAATGTGATTTTGAGTCATTTGTGTATTCAGCTTACTCTTAGCAAGCTGGTTAATGAAAAAAAGTTATGAGTTAATTTCTCAGTGCTTTGCTGAAATCGAGATATATTATATATCTACATCATTCACAGTCCACCAACAAAGTTACTAAGTTGATAAAAAGGGCAAGGCTGGTTTGGCAAAACTTAACAAAATACACATTGTTCTCTGGTAAATCATTCCGCTGTTTGCTGATGGCTTTCTTATTTTTGTTTACTCCTCTTGGAAATAATTGGTCCTTGATTTTCCTCGAGGCCCTTTGAGTCTCTTGTGTTTCTCTTTCCTGTTCTTGTACATGCATTTTTTTTTTGTATTTTGTCTTTTCCCTTCCTCCAGGATTTGAGTTCTTCGAGGCCAGCGCGAAGGACAACATTAACGTGAAGCAAACCTTTGAACGTTTGGTCGACATCATTTGCGAAAAGATGTCCGAGTCACTGGATGCAGCTGATCCAGCTGTGACCGGTGCCAAGCCGGGCCCACAACTGACCGATCAACAAGCTCCCCCCCACCAGGATTGTGCCTGTTAAAAGACTTTGGTGTGGATGCCCTGACTTTACCTGTCCCACCCACCTTGCCTGCCTCATGTCTTGCAGTAACCAGAGCCCCTAGATTCTTGACAGTTTGTGCTCTCTGTCTTCCCTACCGCCACCAACACACACACACATACCATTTAGCTATCCCATTGCTTATCCTTTTCGGGTGGGTGGTCGAGACTCAAACCCAGAGCTTCTCCACCTCTCTGTGTGGGCCTTTGAATGCTTCAAAAGTTACTCCCTTTAATCGTTGGGTGGATAGAAGCTCTATCTTCCTGTAACGCGCCCCCCTTCCCCTCCACGGGATCCAAGTTGATGAGCTTGAAAAAAAGGGGCGGGGGCAACGCCGGAACTTTTAACTGTTCTTAGCGGGGTTTTATTTATTTATATATTTATAATGTTTCCATTGACACCTTTGAACATCCTTCCCCTCCCCTCTCCCTGCTTCGTAAGCGCCATGCACTGCATTTTTCTGCACTCGGTATGGACAAAAATAGACAACATCCCGAGATTCAAAGGGGATCTGGCTGTGTCTTCACAGGAAGGAAATATATATCTGTCAGAAGCATCTGTCTCTTTCCTTCTGACCGCTGATCATGGGCTGTAGAGAGAAAAAATAATATTGTTCAGGCAAACAGAGCTATCTGGGAACTATCCCATTACCAGGTTTGAATTGGGCTCGGTTTTTGTAATGCTGCGAAGTGAGGTTAATTACTGTAACCTCAATGCTCTCTCCAGTTCATGCCTGCTTCTTGCATGCTGTTTATCCTCTACCATGAATGAAAATCATAGGTTTTAAGGTGAATATCTTCTTTCACAGAACGGCAGGAATTTTCAACTTAAAACTGTAGATCTTGTCACGTTGGATTCTGAGGGATTACGATCACTCTAGGTCTAGTTGAATCCGGTCACTTAGCAAGAAGAGGCTTGCACGGGTAGTAGATCCTTTTTTTCCCATTCAGATAGAAGAGGAAGAAGGCCTTCCTGTATTGAGAAGATGACCATATTTGGAGAAACGATAGAGTAGATCCTTTTGCTCCACCAGCTAGGAATTTGTAAGGGTGGGATTGCTCTGCTACCTGTAGCGGCCTAGTGTACACCCAGATTTTTCCAGCTTCTCTCCTTGAGAAAGACAGGGCTAAATTGGAATAGTAAAGCATAGCAAAAGAGGTGCCCTTTGGGCTACGTGTAGCGAAGCTTGTCACCTGCCCGGCATGACTGAAGGTGAAAGTAGATTGGAGAAGTTCTGTTTCCTTTCAGTTGCCCTGCAGAAGACGGTTCTCCCACTTTCACCTTGCCGAGTGTCTAGATAACCTGCTTGCTCCTCTTCCCGTCTTCCTCCGTGTACAGGAAACAAAAACGAAAAGAAAAAAAAAAAGAGCAATCTCTCCAGTTCCATGTAAATAGAAGTAGCTGGTGATGTTTATGTGCGTATGGACCTTTCATTGCTGTGTCGTGATTTGTGTTGGTGTTTTTAGTTTGTTATTTTTAAAATAAGTCACCCTACCTGACGGGTTTTCACAGAACTATGTATTTATTTAAGAGGAGAAAGGCGGAGAGGCAGCCGGAAAACCCATCTTGGCTGATCTAAAAACCACAGGAGAAAGTCAAAGGGTTCTTTGTCATTGTGGAATGGTTTCTCCACTGCTTTCCTTTCCTAAACAGACCTGAGTTTGCAGGGGTTAAGTTGAACCTGATGTCATACGTTCCCCTCAGTCCAGCATCCTTTTCCCCCTAGAACGGACTGGGGCAGGTGGGGGTTGAATTCTGTCAACAGCCACTGTTACCTTACTCCTTACCAGTACTATTCCCCTTCCCCATTGCTATCCTTAATTTATTTTTCAATGAAGTTCTATACATTTGTTTTACAAATTCTTGGACACCATCTGCGCTCGCTCTCTCTCTCTCTCTCTCTCTCTCTCTCTCTCTCTCCCTCTCTCTCTCTCCCTCTCCCCCTCCCCCCCTCTCTCTCCCTCCCTTCCTCTCTTTCTCTCTCCCCCTCCCTCCCCCCCCCCCCCTCTCCCCTTTTTTCTTCCTCTCTCTCTCTCTCTCTCTTTCTTTCTCTCTTTTTGAAGTTTACTTTAATGGAAAAATATATACTGTACTGCATTTAAAAAAAACAAAACAAACCCTGTCAGAAGTGTCAAAATAAATAATTTCCTAAAATGAGCAAACAAAAAT